TATAGGGATCCGAACCCATGGCCTTGGTGTTATCAACACCACACTCTCCCAAGTGAGCCACCGGCCGGCCCCTAAAATAATTTTTTTTTTTTTTTAAAAAGATGACCGGTAAGGGGATCTTAACCCTTGACTTGGTGTTGTCAGCACCACGCTCACCCAGTGAGCCAACCGGCCATCCCTATATGGGATCCGAACCCGCGGCCCCGGTGCTATCAGCACCACACTCTCCCGAGTGAGCCACGGGCCAGCCCAAACAATTTTTTTAATTAAAAAAAAATTACTAGTCCTCCAGACAGATTAAGAACACTAAGTGTGTCTGCCCAAGGCTGACACTGGGGTTCACATGTGGCTCCTGAACAGGCTGATGCTAAGTGTTCAAGTTTCTCATCTCTTCCTCCAGGAAGTCTTCTGGGACCACCTCAGCCCATAGTCACTCATTCATTCAGTAGTTTTTGAGCTTCTACTATATGATAGGCACATCATTTTATGTCCATGGGTCTTCCCTCCAAACAGCAGTGTCCTTGAGGGAGATGGGCCCCTGCCTTTCACTGTCAGGACCAAGCTCAAGGTGGTGTACAAACCCTTCACAAAGATTCAGACCCCCAGGAAGTCAAGGCTGACTGGGACCTCAGGGAGGCCCAGAGAGGGGAATACCCAGCTCAAGGTCACACCACAAGTAATGGGGGTGAATGTAAGATTATAATCCAAACATTGTACCCTAAACCCAACACTATGGGCTAGACCCCTAATAAGGCTGGGGAGGCTGGAAGTAGGAGAGGAGCCCCTCCAGCTGTCCTCGGGTTCAAGGTGAAGTAGTGGGATCACGCTGGGGGGTCTGGAGCAGTGTGTAGGTCTGCAGGTGTGTGAGCATGTGCATGGACAGTCAGGATGTTTCTGACCATCTACCACCCTGCTGGCAGCACTACCTGGGCACAGGGCTTCTTGAGAGAACTGGGACAAACAGCCCCATCACCATTTCTAGAGTAAGCAAAGTTCCTGAGCCTCACTGGGAGCTGACCTGGGCCAAGATAGAACTTGAGTCTGAGCAGAGGTTCCCAGACTTCCCAAGAGGCCAGCAGCCTCCCAGTAGGGCAGCAGCAGGTCCCTGCCAGCCCAGAAGTACAGGACTTAGTACCCAGTATAGACTGACACCTAGATGGGGAAAGGAGAAGAGATCTTCACTGAGAGAGGCAAGGACTGAGACAGGACAGGGAGACCTTCCCAGCACCACCAGACAGGCACTCAGCACTCCTCTCATCCTCCAGGTTGGCAGCAGACACGGCTTCCTTCATTTACTCACTCACTTGCATATGCAGTGCTTGGTGGGTGTCCCATGGTGAGGAGAAGCCAGGACCATGGGACTCCAACGCTCACTCTGCAGTGCCACAGGATATTGAAAAAGGCCCCCAAACCATGCAAAGTGGGGCTCTGGAATTATCTGAGCCTCCCCCAACTTCTGTTCCCAGTTTAACCTGGCTTTCTTTAGACCCTAGTGAAGACGGTTGGTTGTTGTTGTTGTTTTATTTGCTTGCTTTTCATTAAAAACAGCTTTGGTGCCAACCCAGAAAACATTCCCAAACCCTGCTGTATTCCAGGGGAACTAAGGGAATTCAAGAGGAAGCGAGGAAAGTCCAAGGAGATCCGCCATGCAGGCAATGGTCCCAAGGGAATGATCAAGGCCAGAGTGTTCTTAGCTGGCATGAGGTCTCTTGTGTCCTCATTGGCCCAACTTCCACACCTGACTCCTATGTCTCTCCCCAGACTCTATGGAGGCAGTGCAAGGAAGCTGAATACCCGCTGGGCTCAGAATTGGGACATGTGGATTGGAATGCCACTGCTGAGCCATCATCTGACTGAGCCTCATGTTCCTTAAGAGCTGAAACTCTGGAGCCAGAATGCTAAGTCCAAATCCCAGCTCTGCCAATTCCTATCAGTGTGATCCTGGGCAAGTCATTTAACTTCTCTGAGCCTCAGATTCCTTATGTGGGTATGGGGATGATAACTGTACCTGCCTCATAGAGAACTGAAAGTTAATATGTGCAAAGAGTGGGCCGGCCCGGTGGCGCACTGCGCTAGTGCGCCGCTTGGGAAGCGTGGCAGCGCTCCCGTCCGAGGGTTCGG